TATAGCTCACCTGAGAGTGCCAGCTCTGAGTGCCCAGGAAGGGATGGCACAGGCATAGCTCAACTGGGACTCACAGGATGGCAGAGGTATCTCTGATTTTTAGGAATGGATGGCACAGGTATAGCTCAGCTGGGGCTCACAGAGATGGCACAGGTATATCTCAACTGAGACTCCAGCTCTCAGTGCCCAGGGATGGCACAGGTATAGCTCACCTGAGAGTGCCAGCTCTGAGTGCCCAGGAATGGATGGCACAGGTATAGCTCAGCTGGGGCTCACAGAGATGGCACAGGTATATCTCAACTGAGACTCCAGCTCTCAGTGCCCAGGGATGGCACAGGTATAGCTCACCTGGGGCTCACAGGGATGGCACAGGTATAGCTCACCTGGGAGTCCCAGATCTCAGTGCCCAGGAAGGGATGGCACAGGCATAGCTCAACTGGGACTCACAGGATGGCAGAGGTGTATCTCACCTGGGGGTTGCAGGGATGGCACAGGTATATCTCAACTGAGACTCCAGCTCTCAGTGCCCAGGGATGGCACAGGTATAGCTCACCTGGATATTGCAGAGATGGCACAGGCATATCTTACCTGGGATTCTCAGCTCTCAGTGCCCAGGAAGGGATGACATAGGCACATCTCACTCAGGACTTGCAGGGATGTCAGGCACATCTCACCTGGGATTCTCAGCACTCAGTGCCCAGGAAGGGATGGCACAGGCACATCTCACCTGAGGCTCTAAAGAAGTCCTTCTTTTCGGGGAAAACCAAACCCAAACTGCAGAAATTGCACTCATCTAAATCCCGAAGAATCCTTACGCACGAGGAATCTCTTTGGCCACACTACACACACTCACATCAGCTCACACTGTTGGTCCTTTCCAACCCCAACCATTCTGTGATCTCCAGGCAAAGCAAAGGAAGGGAATTTGTGGCTTCTGGGCAGAGTGGGAATCCTTGTGCATGGGGAGTCATCTCAGGCTGAGCACCTCAAGTGCCTTTACAAGTAGGAAAGGAAGGTTGGAGGGACATCAGCACCACCACAGTTAGGAAAATAAGTACAGGTGGTAAATTATTGTACTCTTGTAAATATTGCAGGAGTATTGACAGTTGCAGTACTGGTGTATCTACAGTTAGGAGCTGTGGTGAAGCTCCACCAATGCTTCACTCCATCACTTTTGCCTCAAGGAGCAGCAGTACAGGTGTGATGTGCCTGTGTCAAACAAAGTGGATGCACAGGGTAGAGCAGCTCCCAGGAGTACTCAGTGCTGAACAGCCCA